GCACCATCAGCTTTCTTCACCACATTTGCTTATGTACACATTTGTCTTCGGTGATCATATCGGGAAGGTGGGCACCCACTGATATGATTTTTTGTTCTTCGATGTATGATACCTGGTCCCTTCTACACCTCGTGGTCACAGAGACTGGTGTCCTTCTTCCATGTGGGCTTTGTTGCATCCCTGTTAGATGGCCACTTATTTAACTTCAGGCCTTTAAGACTCCAGACACTATGTCTTATAATAGCTGGGCACAATCTGCTTTCTTCACCATATTTGTTTATACACCCATTTTGTCTCCAGAAATTGTGTTGGGAAGGTGCATATCATACAATGTCACATTTTTAGAACACACCGTTCTTGAACTGGGGTGAGCCTTAAGTAGAGGACCAAAGTCCATCTGATTCCTTTTTGTATTTACATATATATACTTACATAAACAAGTACACCTATATTTATATATTTACATATATAATATCTCCAAATAGATCTCCATATATATCTTTTCTTTCTTCTTTCCTCTTTTTCTGTTTTTCTTTCCTTGTGCCCTACTATCGTGATTACCCATCATTCATCTCTCAGTAATTCCTCTCAGTACAAGTCGATAGATCAAAGAATCAGGAAAGGTACACCCTCCTTCCCATCAATTTTAGAACCCTTACCATTCCCCTGTCTCTGTCATTATTGGCTCACCAACCACTCACCTCCTTCCACCTCCTTCCCTCCCATGCCCCTCATAACCCACCACTGTCTCCTTGGGATTGACTATCCTGCCTATCTTGTATAGATAAACACCAAAACCAACCAAACAAAAACAAAGCAAACGGCAAAGTCCATACAAATAGTCCCAAGTCTAACAAGGATCTTGACTCAGAGTAGAGAACTATCTCTCTGTTAAATAATGAGAAGTACGTGTTATAATCCATCAGTCCAGTCTTATTAATACACCCTTTTAGTCTTCAGCATTTGTGTCCAAAAGGTGCTTGTCCTAAAGGTTCCCATTGCTATTCATGCAGTCAGGGGTTGAGTGGTCTAGAGCCCCACCCCATTACACCTTTAGACTTTCACTGTGGTTCACTTGTTAGTAAACCCCAACCAGTCAGATGAGGTTCCAAGTGCTGCCCTCAAGTCCGAAGTCTATAATCAGGATTCCTCAGGGACTTTGTGGCTTCGTTCCCATCACTGGTCTGTTGCACTCCCCTCTTGGTTTGCCCCATGTGGATGTATCAGACTAGCTGCTCTCCCCAAACTGTATCTTCAGTGCTGTCCTCTGTAGTGCTGTCATCTAGGGAGAGGATGTGATGTCTCTGGCTGAGGCCGGCATCTCTGGGAATGAGCTGCTCCAAGCAGGAACATTGCCCTCCAGGATGGGCACACCAAAATCAGGTCTACTCCCTCTCTCCCTTTCCTGTTCTACCAACTCTTAAAAGCAACTTCTTATTCAGTACATTTTTATCTCTATGAACTTTGTTTTCTTCATAATAGCATTATTGACATATAATCCACATATCATGTTCTTCAATAGTTAGGTCTTGTCACAAAGAGTTGCACAATCATCACCACACTAAGTTCTAGAACACTTTTTTTTTCTTCTTGTACACACTGATACCAGTTCCCTATTTCCCAATAACTTCCTCCTATATACCCCCAATAAACTATTAATCCAATTATTTTCTCTATAAATCCAAGCAGACTGGATTTCATATACTGGAAAGCATACCAAAAAAGTAACAAAATAAATCAAAGAAAAACTCCAATAGAAAAGAAAGCAGGAAATACTAGAAACCGGAACATAGCTGTAATGGATCAAAAGGGAGATAAAATGATAAAGTGTTTTCTTCTCCTCCTGGCTAACACAGAAAGTGCTATGTTGATTAAGAGTGGATGTGTTAGGGTTCTCTAGAGAGATAAAACCAAATTCCTGTAATATAATATAATTATTTATAAAGATAATTAGATATATAATGAGAAATGAACTGTTAAATCATATACAGATAAATATACAATACAAGAAATAAACAGTTAAATTAGAAAGCACTATAAATGGCTTAGTGCAACTCACGTCCGTGAGAGAAAGTTGGGAGACTAGCAGTC